ACCGATCTTCACGTCTATATTCAGAAGCATAGCAGGATGAAACATGTCGTGAATGCCCACAGCACATACGAACTGATTTGGGATCAGTGGCATTGCAAGGTCAGGCGGTACACAGTGCGGAATTTTTTTCTTCCACCCCCCCCCCCCCCAACAGACATTTTTGTAAACGTTAGAAACATATTTTTTTCCGCATTGTTACCCCTCTCTCCGCACCCCGCCCCTTTGTGCGCCTCCATTTGGCTAGGCCTGCGTTGATAGATGCGAGCGACGCATTCGACAGGCGCATTGTCGATCTGCGGAGAGAGACTAAGCCGTGTGGGATAAAACCAGGTTCAATTGATTTTGTCGATTTCAATTCTTTTAGTCTCAAAACAACATGTCGATTGTGAATCGCTTTTCTGTGAATCCCACTCAACATACAATATTATTAATATTTTCGTATATTTTTGGTTGAATTTGTTCGAACTTTGAATTAAGAATTGACATACCAGCACTCAGGATACTACCATAAGCGACACCCCCTGCAAGCGAAGAGTTCCAGTTTAGATGGCACCTATAACAATCTAGTGTATATCCGTCTCGCCTTTCCCTTGAGTGTTGAGCCATGACCTATTTGAGTAGGTTATGGGACAGCGTCGACCTGATCTCCTAGCCATTCCATTCTCCTCAGTCCGTAATGATCTTTTTGTGCCTCCTCCCTGTTCACTCTCTCCGAAAGCTCGTCATAAATCAATTTACCAGCAAATGGTGCAGAACCAGCCAGTCTATCAGTATGTTGGTTTCCCACACACAGGCATTACCTGGGTAAAATATCCAAAGGACGCTAATACACAGCAAAAAAGACTATCCTATTCTAACAGAACACGATGCTTGACACAATGCACGAAGAACGTCTATCTCCACCTTTCTCAGCATACTTTACGAGTCAGTTGCAATCACGGCATGTGTGTACAGCAGGTTCTCAAGCTAGCGAAAGGAACCAGTTACTGCCTCTACCTCCATTCTGAAACTTGACGTTGTGATATAGAATGCTAGATTTGCACTAAGTGACGTCCATTCGTTTTTGCAATAAACCTTCACGCACGTCTGCTTCTTAACACAAATAATTGCATTTGGTCAAAGCATACTAAAGACTCTAACTTCTCTAGAATTTTAGAGTTTGAAAGAAATATATTTATTCTGCTTCCTAGTGTGTGTAGTTCCTCCCCCCCCCCCCCCACTTTTTTTCCTACTGTAAAACCATCTGCTAATTACAGAGGTAAACTTTTACGAGTGGTGCAGGCCACTGTGAAAGAAAATTGTTCCCTTTAATTCTGACCCCATCTCAGTTTTTGTTTTTCTGTTTGTTGTAATTTTGATTTTTTAAAGTTACTATTACTAGTTTATACGTTGGCGTGTTGTCTTGCCTGTCTTAGAAAATCATCACGGTTGCTACATAATCATTTCTGGAAAATAACTGGATGGAAGTAGACTCTAAAAATATAACAAAACACCGTGAAGGAAGAAGCAAATTTGTCCCTTAAATTATGCCTGCATCTCACTTTTTGTTTTTCCCAATGTTGTAATTTGGATTTTGTAAGTCCTACCGCTGGCGCGTTGTCTTATCCTTCTTTTCTTTGTTGGAAGACCAGTAATATAAGATTATAACGTTTATTACTGTTGCTTAGGGTTAATCAATGCTGGAAGATAATTGAATGGAAGCGGATGACACGAACAGGGTAGAGAAACTTATTTCAAGCCGTTGATTAACATGAAAAACGCTACGTAATTGATTCGGTAGAGAGACGGCGACACGCACCAACTAAACCTGGACCAAAAGTAAAAAATATCGCTGGTCTGAAGAATGATCAGATTAATGAATCAATTTTTATTTCTGTCTAATGTATTTGTATTTATTTTAATATTTGTATTTTGTAAAAAAAAATTATTTGTATTAATGTTATCAAGAGACTTATAATATTAAATATTACTTAGAATGTGTAAGGCAAGTGTAAAACTAGGGATGCTAGTGAAGTTTTGGCTATCCTCCGAATAACGGTCCTACTTCTAAATTATCGAGGCGGAAAATTAGGCTATTATTCTCAGAATAACGGGCACACAAGATGGCGGCCAAAAAAGAGAGCCTCAGTCATGTGTCAATTGCTGCAGGAGATGCGGAAGCTGCTGTTCCTGAGTCCTAGCCATCAAGTTTAGCCCCAATCCATGCCACATGAGGGACTCTTGGCGGTGGCGGTAGTCGCAGGAAAACTGCAAATTAAGTCGCCCGAAGTGCGCAATTGACACATGACTGAGGCTCTGTTAGGATGTTTTTGGGGCCGCCATTTTTTGTGCTCGTTATTTGGAGGATAGCCGGAAAATATACCCTAACAGGGCCTCAGTCACGTGTCAGTTGCGCACTTCCGTCGTCTTAATTTGCTCGCTTCCAGTGACTTCCGCCACCGCCAAATTACGAACTTCCGCCACCGCCAAATTACGAACTTCCGCCACCACCGAGAGTATCCCCCACGCGGCGTGGATCGTTTTTAAGACTACCAGACCAGACCAGACTAGATGGCTAGGACTCACGAGCAGCAGCTACTGCACCTCCTGCAGCTTCCTTCATTTTATTTGCTTGTGAGTCCTAGCCTAGTTTAGCCCCAATCCATGCCGCATGAGCGGCGTGGGGGATACTTTCGGCGGTGGCCATAAGTGCGCAATTGACACGTGACTGAGGCCCTGTTAGGGTATATTTTCCGCTTTGATAATTTAGGACCGTTATTCGGAGGATAGCCAAAGTTTTATTTGGTTTATATGTTGGGGTTTTGGCCAATTTGTAATTTGGCAAAACTGAAAAGGCGACCTCAGGGGATGCAATCTATTGTTTGCAGAGGCGACCATAAGTGACACAATCTTTTTGTTTGTTTACATTCATAATTAATAATGTTCTTTAATATTTAATATTGCTTCTTCAGGTTAGGGTTAGGATTTTGGGCTCTCCTTTCAACTACGGCCGGTAGACAACAGAAGACGGCCGGTTAGTATGAGTTGTCTCCCCTGGCTACAGTGCTATTACGGACTGGAGAAGGCACGAATCAAAACACAAAGTGAGCTCGACGTGCCTTGCAGACCCCGCGCTGCGACTCAAATTAGCGACTGTGTTCAATTACCGCTTCTTGCGACGCATTACGGAGTGGATAAGAGGGAACACAACAAGTGACATAATTATTGTGTGTTGGCGATAGACAGCATGCACTGCCCTGCTATGATCATACGATTAGGGTTTGGGTTGCTACTTTGAGTTTGTGCGAAGACGAGATGCGGCGACACTAACCGTAACCCTAACCCACACCCTAAACCTAACCCAAACCCTAATCATCTGATCATAACAGGGCAGTGCATGCTGTCTATCGCCAACACACAGTAATTCTGTCTTTTGTTTCGTTTCCTCCTGTCCAGTCCGTAATAGCACTGTAGCCAGGGGAGAGAACTCCCGACTTACCGGCCGTCTACATTTGTCTACCGGCCGTAGTTGAAAGGAAAGCCAATCCGGATTTTGGTCAGTGTGTGTACTGATGTCAGCTGTGATAGTGATAATATATATATATATATATTTATATATACATTATGGCGGCCAAACAAATACCCTAACAGGAGTGTATCTACTCACAATTTTGGGGCTTAACTAAATGGCTGGAACTCACGAGCAGCAGCTACTATATCTCCTGCAACTTCCTCCAATTTATTTGCTTGTGAGTCCCAGCCATCTAGTATAGCCCCCAATCCGTGCTGCGCAGGGGATACTGTCAGCGGTGCGGCATAGTCGCAGAAACAGGTCCGCTATTAACATATCGCTGATACCATGATTGGGGCATTTATTTGCCCTAGATAATATTGGCCCATTATTCGGAGGCGATCCCAGTTTTGACTCGATTTGTTCCTCGGCAAGCACTCCACATTTTACACATGACTGATTCCCTGTTAGGGTATTTTGCCGCCATAATATGGGGATGAAGTTAGAAGGAGAGCTATATTTGAATAACATACAATATAGTAATATAGCAGTAATACATTATTCATTATAATAAAACAAGAATTTAATACAAGGCAACTAATTAGGGTAGTTTCCTCGAAGTAGGAGGGCATCTGCCTGAGAGGCAAGTCACCAATAGTTTGCATTACATATAAATAAGCCAGACATGTAAAACAGATGTTCATGCCAAACTCAGGTTCTGGAACAAGACTCAAGTCCAAAAGTGGAAAAACAGCCAGGACTTTCCACCAAAGTTACAGCTGGTTAACACTAAGAGGAAGATTGTTTTCATTATTGTGTTGAAAGAGTTGAGGAAGCCTAGTTTATATCACACTATATGTATGTTATTGTGTTACAGTTATTCATTTCAGAATGATTCTAAAACTGAAGACAATTTTTATTATATAGATATATCTGTATGTCAAAGCAGACAGTTATATCTGATGAAGCAGTGGAAAATGTCACACACTTGGAATATCTAAGTTCTGCATTAATAACAATGAAGAGAGTTGAATATAAGTTAAGTGACTTGCCATAGTGTATGGCTCTACTGCTAGCAAAATATTTTTCATAGACCAGTCAACATTCAGTGAGTGATGTGGTCAGTATCATATTTTGCTGGACACTTTTATTTCCCAGAATATTTTCAATTATTTTTTTTTTAGGCTAAGAGAGACTAGGAATACAATTCTAAATGTACCATATTTTTTAGTGTTTAAGATGGTCATTATTTTTTATAGCCTTAGATTAAGAAATGAATATTTTAATCACATACCATGTATAAGATGATGCCAGATTTCAAACGTATAAAAGAAAATTAGGAAAACATATCGTCTTATACACCAAAAAATATGCTATATTTCGAAAAAATGGGGAATATTAATTGAAAGTCAGGAGATTTGCTGTAGCATATGGTGCTAGCATTATGTTTGTATAGACTCAGAAGACTATGAATGGTTTCTTTGCTTTCTGACAGCAGCAGTAGACAAAAATGGAGCCAGCCCCACCAGTTCACAAAAAGTCTGCGACACAGCAAACATTTCAGTTTGGTCCCTGGACAATCACATCATGCAAGTCTCACATCCTCGAGTCTGAAGGCAGCCATAGAGAAAAGTAAGTCCGACATCTGTATTATTCCTTTATGCCACATATCGTATTTTTCCATAGATAATAAGTAATAATGGTTTCCCAAATTTAGTTTACAATTGGAGGCCGCCTTATACGTAAAGAGTAAAGTAAAGGACCATTTTCCATGCCTTTAGGAATACCGGGCATATAGGGCTAGATCTGCATTTTATAGACCACTCAGCTCTTGGTTGGTGATGTGGTGAACATCTTGATGGCCGCCCTTACTTCCCAGGACTTTACCTAGTACCCATTTAAAACTTTGTTGAACCAGAGTCTATGATCGTTAAATTTCTGGTCATAAATCAAATTCAACTATCAACAGACTGCAAACAGATGGCTTCGAATTAAGCTTCATCCAGAAGATGGCTGCACTTACAATCAGCATCGCTTACAATCATTGTTTTCAGTGAAATTTTGTTACTTTTTGTTACAAGTGCATATTCAGCTTTTTCATAATTTCTGATAATGAAAACCAGACTTGTAGTTATGATTCTAACTCTGCCAACAAGTTTGGCTCTGAAAAATAATTCCTGGCTTAGTAGAGATACATCAGTGAATGATATCGCAACTGAAAGTAGTGACAGCGATGATGGACTTGATAACGGGGATAATGTGGGTACATCTGAATAAAAACGTGGGTGTGGCACAAGAGACAAGAACATTGTTACAGCTGAAAATGTAGTTTGGAAATGGAGAAAGGCAAGAGACGGGGCGCATGTAGAAAGGGAGTTGGTTCTCCCCTGACCCTGTGTGGCTGGAGAAGGGAAGGAGAAGATTAACTGGTCAGGTCAGATGTCCCATTCTGATGTTGTATATTTTATGTGCACTTTATCAAGATTTGAACGTGAGCTGGAGCTGCCTCAGTTGCCAGAGATGGTGTTTCCTGAGAATTTTCTCCGCATCCACCACAAGTCAGGCTGTGGTGTAGAGTTCAACGCCCTTGATGCTCTCCGTCTTGTAGATGCCCACTCTGACCCCATCAAGGTTGCAGTATCCAGAGAGTGGCAGACATCTAGGTAAATAACTCCTGTTGTTAGTTCTGTGTTTTTACATTGAAAATGTTTCATTGTAAATTGATTCTTCTTTAAAGTCCGTGCTATGGGGTGCTGGTAGTCATGTCAGTCCACAACCTTCTGTCTCGTGTACTTTCTATCAACTCTGGCACAGATGATCCTCCATGACATGATGTCAGACTGTCCAGCATCTTTTCTCTCGGTCTCTTTCTGCCTCTCCGCCAATCCAGCTTTTTTACTGTCACATGTACTCCAGTTTTCTCCTTCTCATCACATGACCAAAACATTTAGATTGTGTCTTTCTGATGTGGGCAGTCAGTTCTCTTTGTGAGTCAGTTTTGTAAATTTCAGTAATTATTTATTTAAATTTTTCAGAATACCAAAGAGAAAGCTATGATTTGAGACGAATTCTCTCCAATATTCCATAGTTATAGATTCAAACTGTACGATAGACATGGCTGATGAAGATACCTTTTTTTTCATTGGTGCCTAAAGATACCTTTTTTTCATTGGTGCCTAGCCCATCCTTTTCTCTCTTTGTCTACCCCCCCCCCCCTTCCCCCTCCTTTTTTTTGGGATCCTCCATCTGCCTCGAACATCAAGAACATCAAGCGCTTATGGGAATTTTCCAAGTGTTGTGATGACGGTTCTTTTAAATGGGTACCAGGAAATGTACTGGTTAGTAAATGTGGTCAGCATGATGTTGGTCCTATTGGGTGACCTTTGGTCTATAAAAAAAAAAATACCCAGCACAGTATGTACTGATATCTCTGCAACTGCCAGTCCAAGCTTCAAGGACAAAAGATTGGGTGTGCAGCTAACTACCCACCCTGTAAAAACAGCAGTGCTACAGAAACTGGAATGGGTAACAAACGAATTGAGGAAAACACCATAAGAGGAGCATTTTTGAGATAAGTCAGGGCTGCTTTAATGATAACTGTTCGGATTTCATTTTTGTGCCAAACATTCCAAAAAATTATTGTTGTAGAACTTGATTCTGCAGAAGAGTGAGTTTGATTTTGCTTATCCTGTAGCAGAAAGAAGACCCTGGACATTGCTCATATCATAATTGATTCTTTGTCCATGTGTCTGCACCATGTAGATAACTTATCACATTTGAAGGACACACACATAAATATATATAAGGCTGCACATGTTAGTTAATTAGGAGTGTTCCTTCAAAGTTGGAGTGCATTTGCCTGAGAGGCGATGAACCAACAGTCTGCATTAAAAAAGCCAGATCTGTAAAATGGATGTGCATGCAATTTGCAGGGAAAAGACTGAAGTCCATAAATGGATTAACAACAGAACTTTCCACGAGAGTTTACAGCGATAAATGCAGATTAAAAGAAGATATCAGGCTATTTAATATTGACGATATCAGGCTATATAATATTGCTAAATTCTACTTTGACCATTCTAATTCTTTCTTATTTCTGCCACACACCTGCCGTAGGTTGTCTTTCTACTACTGCCCTTTATCTCCCAGTGGAGCTTAGGCCCTCAGCCATCTCAGGCCAGGTCATCATATCTTTTGCTATCTCATGCAGCTTCCCCCATATCGTCCCTATCTCTTAACCTCACTCTCTAGTTCTCTTTTCCTCTTTTTTTTTGGTCTGCCTTTATTCCTATAACCATGTGAGTTCCAGTGTAGAGACATTCTGGTTATATTGTTCCCAGGTTTTCTCAGTGTGTCCTAATCAACAATCTTATCTTTGCACCCTGATTTACCAGATATTTTTTAGTTCTGCCATAAAGCTGCACATCAGTGATTCTATCATACTACAGTGGAACCTCTCTTAACGAGCTTAACTCGTTCCAGAATCATACTCGCTAAGCGAAACAATTTTTCTCATAAATTAATGTAAAATACGATAATGCGTTCCATGTCGATAAGATACTCACAAAATGCTATGTATAACGTTTATTCAAAAACTCTTTGAGAGTGAGGTTGGTCCCTTCAGTCACCTGAAAACAATGCTCGAAGAGTGCTTTAGTGTAGAGCTTCTTGAAGTTAGAAATAGCTTGCTGGTCCATGGGCTGGATTTACGGTGTGGTTTTGGGAGGCAGAAACTGGATCTTGATGAACTTAAATTCTTAAGATAGATCATCTTGTAGGCCTGGAGGATTCATGTACATCTATCACAATACAACACAAGTTTGAGAAAATGTGTGATCACAAGCGACACTACGATGCTACTATGGCAAGTGCTAAAAACTGATGTAACATGCGCACAATTGGGGACTTCCCCTCTCCTCGCCACTCGTTATGTGAAACGTCGCTCGTTAAGCAAGTCATTTTTTTTACAATTTGTTTTGCTCGTTATGCGAATTACTCTTTAAGCGAGGTTCTACTGTATCTGCTATCTGCTGTCCTAGGTTTAAAAAAATTGCTTTGGTCATATGTCTTGTGATTCTGTGTATATTTTGAAACCGGCTTGTTACTATCTTTGTTGATTATCATAGTGTTTGCTTTCGTTATTATATGTATGTGTATGTTTGCATCATATTCATTATTTTATGTGTTTATTTGTGTGCGTATAAAATTTAAGATCAAGCAACAGTCCCAAGGGTACCAGAAACAAAACTGCACTCAGCCCAAATGACTGTCTGTAAAATAAAACCAGAACTTTCAGAGCCAAAGACAAACAGCTTAACCATGTAGTCACAGAGACCTAGTGTTGGCACATGTTTGTATATATTTGTATGATGTGTATTTGTATAATGTGTATTTTTATAACATGTATTTTTATCATGCATATTTTTCGTGCCTCTCAAAAAGATCTGATTGTGAGCATATTAAAAATGTTATCTCGCCATTTGACTGGACTTTCACCACAGCCTACAGAGGTACCATTTTTGAGGAAACCCCCAACACGCTCAAGGTAAGTGTGATGTTATCTGTTATTTATAGAACAAATGCAAATCATTCATTTTAAAGGGTCACAAATTGGGCATGTAGGCTTGTATTACATTTGGCTTTTCCAAACAAGTTATCTTTCGCACACTACACTATACACACACATAAAAGTAAGTAAAGTAAAGATCCCTTTTCACGCCTTAGGTGCATTGAGCATATGGGAAGAGCGTCCCGTATTTTTACAGACCGGTCGGCACTGGGTGGGTAATCTTCTTATTTGCGTTTGGTTTCGTATGCTCAGATTAGACCATCAGGTGGGTTGCCTCTATGAACTCGCATGTCAGCTGCAGGTCCTGCATGGTTCCCCATAGCTTGCTCTGCACACTTTGCTCTTGAGGCCAGGTGTCTTTTCAAAGTTGCAGGTAGAGTGGGCAGGTCTGCAGAATGTGCTGAGGTGTTTGGGGTCCTGTTTGACAGGCACACTGGGGGGACAGTACAATCTTTATTTTTTGCATGTGGTAGTTGAGTCTGCAGTGTCCTGTTCGTAGACAGAAAATTTTTGTTTGTTGCTTTCTGTTGAGTGCTGATGGGGTCTTGTGGATGTTTACTGTTAGTTTGTTCTCTCCACAATCTCTTGTATTTTCCTTTGATAAGTGTTCTGATTTCTGGTAATGACAATGAATGGGCGTGTTGTTTCTCCTGAGTTCCATTTTTTGCAAGTCTGTCTGCTAACTCATTTCCTGATATGCCGCAGTGAGCCGGGATCCACTGGAGAACGATTTGATTGTTTTCTGTGAGTCTGTTTAGCTGATGGGTCAGTTCTCTTTCCATGTTGTCTCGTGGATCCCTATGAGTCGCCTGGAGGACTGACATGCAGTCACAAAGGAAAACAATTTTGCTGTTTTTAATTTTTATTTCCTCAAGCACTTTGGCTGAATCAATAATTGCTTGCTGCTCTGAAGTTTGTTGAGAGTCTTCCGGAGATGCATGACGTTTCTGCTGTGGTCCCATCTTGCAGCATGATGACCGATCCAGCTCCTCCATTTTTGCCTGCTCCCTCCAATGATCCTTCTGTGTATACGTGTGTCCATTCAGGTTTTGGATAACAGTTGTAGACATGTTTAAGGGTCTTTGCACGTAGTACTAGGTCACATTCTTCAGCCTTTCTGTCTATGCCTGGAATTGTTGTTGTGACTGTATATTTAGGCTGTAGGTCTATGCTGTATGCCTGGATCATTTCCCATGTTGAAGGATCTTTAGAAAGGATGTCACTGTTTTTTGTGTAGTACATATTTGATAGATGGTGAAAGCTTTGTCTTTTCAGTCAGTTTTTGGTTAAGTTATTTGCTATTCTTTTGCATGGGATTGTTGTTCATGCATTAAAATTTTTCCAGCTCATTAATTGGTGTGCTTCTCATACCTCCAGTGATGATCCTGAGACCAGTGTTCTGTATTTTGTCCAGTTTGTGTAGGTTTGATTTGGCTGCAGTGGAGTATGCTCCCATGCCATACTCCAGTTTTGGTCGTACGGGTGGGTAATGTGGTTAGCATTACCCCGGCCGTCTATATTTTCCCAGGACAGCCATCCTGGTACCTATTTAAGGCTGGGTCGACCTGCGACGCTCCAGACTATGATTAAAATCCACACAGCCAGCAGTGGGTTTCGATCGCGGTACGTTGAAGTTACGAGTCTGATTCGCAACACCTAAGCCACGGACATATACACGCACATATATATATATATATATATTAAACAGATAGATCACTACACATTTTTGTGCGATGAATTAACACATGTATTTTCAAAGCTTGCTGCAGTGTTAATGTGCGTGTGATAGTTTCCTTTAGGTATTTATAAGTAGGGTTGGGTTTTTGTTGTTATCTGTGGCTGTAAGAAGACCAGTTATTCAGAATGACTCTGAAGCTAGAATACAACTAAAAGAGATGACGTCTTATTACAAACTTTTAGAACAAGGTCTTACAGTGGCTTGTTGGACCCATCAGAGATGAAAACAGCAGAGAATAGAGAGTGAGATGTAACAAAAGAATTTATAATCTATTTAAATGACCACTAATTACTGGCAATTTGAGGGCTAAAAACAGTGATGTTTGTTGCCTGTAGAGATATTTGCAGATAACAGATAGACAAAACTCATCATTATCATGTAGCAGGTCCTTTGCAAAACGTCGCTCTCCTCACGGTCTGCCTGAAAGAATCTCTGTCTCTCGCCAGCTTTCCTGCCTCATATACTTACATATTCAAGGAGTCACTTATATCCTGTGCCCATCTTTGTGTTGGTCAGCCTCTGCACCTCCTTCCTGTACCATGCCGTCTGCTATTATTTTGTCCAATTCACCATGATGCTTGATATGACCAAAATATTTAAGCTTTTGAGACAAGAGGCTGTTTATTAGCCAGTTAGACAAAACTGTGTACACAAATTAGCTAAAGCAGACCCAGAAGACGGTTGAGAGATAATATACAGGCAGAACTGCAAACAGTATGAGTAACTAACTGGAAAGAGAAAGCCAGTTACAGAGATAAATGGAGGCGGGTGAAATCTGCAGCATTTAACCTCAAGGGCTCGGAATGCTGAAGAAGAAGAACGGTGGGTTAGGGGTTATGAACGTGGTTTTATAATTCCAGCATCCCAGGTTGCAGGGGATTTAGCAACAGACTGCTTTACACTGGTTTTGACAGTGGTGTAAGTGCCGGCTTTTCACGAAGCAGTGGCAAACTACTGAAAGTAACATTGCTTAGTAAAACTCAAAAAGTTAACAAACACCGGGGTTGGGTTTGGATATCCAGTAGGGATACTGCAACTAACCTATCTAATTATTATTATGATTCACTGGCTGTAAAACGCCGGTGGAAAGTTCTGGTCGTTAGTCAACTTCTATACTTTAGTTTTGTTCCGGAACTTGAGTTGTGCATTTTACATATCTGGATTATATATGCAAACTATTGGTTCCTTGCCTCTCAGGCAGATGCCCTCCTACTTCAAAGGAAGCACCCCTACTTAATAGACTTCTCTGACATGTATAGGGGGGGTTGGATCCTTTCTTTTGACCCCGGAACCCACACAGCGACTTATCTTAGTGATAAGAATGTTATTAGTCTCAGTATGGGTAACTAAATGTTCAATGCTCATCAGGTAGAACAAACCTCAGAACGTATTGACATAGAGAAGCTCAAGCAGAGGGATCCTATCCAGTTTTATGATGATGTTCTTCTGTTTGAGGATGAGCTTTCGGACAACGGGACATCGATGCTGAATGTAAAAGTTGTAAGTAGGTAATACTTTTCATGTGAAGTAGCATTGTTTTTATTTTTGAGGTTATATTCGTGGTTTGTGAATAATTTTGCTTTAGTAAAAGTAAAGGACTTTATTCCACGCCTTTCAGGCGTATTGGGTATATAGGGCTAGACCTATATTTTATAGACCAAACGACACAGTGGGTGATGGGGTCAGCATCACGCCAGCCACCTATACTTCCCAGGACTGTGCCTGGTACCCACTCAAGACTGGGTCAGCCTGGGAGACCAGGTCATTTTTGAAAAAAATCCGGCCCTTGTCAGGAGCCGAACCCATGACCTTCTGATCTACAGGCGAACGTCTAGCCGCTAGACCACGGCGGATCTAGTTTTGTTTTAAATATGATTTAAAATTAATTTTGAAAAACAAATTATGTGACCTGTGTAAAGTTTTTTAACAGGTTTTTAGGAATCCCCTTCCTCAGTCTCACCCCCAAGGGGAGAACAAGGGTTACTAGTTTCTTGTATATTCATTTAAAAAAACATATTGTTCAACTGCGAAAATAAAAATTTATAGGTTGGTGACAGTGTATCAGCCAAGTTATTTCTTGAAGTTGATAAACTTGGTTATTAATGCCACCTACAGAAATCTCAAATGAATAGATCTAGCCGACATTGCCTGTAGAAGTCAACAAGCAGTGTGCGATTGATCTTTACATCTTGAAGTGTTCTTGGTTTGTTTGTAACCAATATTGTATCCATGCTAGATTGATCATCTTCCTCATCTCTATGTTCACTAGCTGTAAACTCTGGCAGAAAGTCCTTGCTTTTTGCCTATTCGTGAACTTTAATATTTTTTTTCTCCAAAACTGGAGTTTTGCTTGTACATCTGTTTTATAGATCTAGCTTATTTATATGCTGCTTATTGGTTCCTTGCCTTAAGTACTTGTAAGGGGGGGGGGGTGTTCTTTTTCCTCTAAAATGGGCTTCCAGATCCCACATGGGAATGTGGTCAGTATTGTACCTAACCTCCAACCTGGGTAGGTTCTAGAGTATTTAATGGGGATAGACCCACTGCCCCCCCCCCCCCTTTTTTTTTTTCCCCAGCAAGCATGTAGTAAAAACTGAAAAATTATGGGTCTTCTGTACTTGAATGTGTTAGCAGAAAGGTCAGATATTGCAGCCTCGCTGTCAACCACAACACTGCCAACCACCCCATTGAGGGCGAGCAGAGAAGAGTATACCTAACCTCTAAGAACATTTTCTGTTTGCCTGTTCTGTAAAAGTGGGTTGAGCCCCTTGAAGCCATGTGGTCATTAAAATGTCTCTCCTTGAGAAATAGTTTCCCCGTGTGGCTTCCAGGACTTAATTTTTTTTTAGAACAAAGAATAGACCCACCTCCCCCCCCCCCCCTTTTTTTCCCCCCACAGGCATGTTGAAAAAGGCGACTGATTAGAGGTGTTTCTTCAAAGTCAGAGTGTATCTGCCTGAGAAGCAGGGAAGCAACAGTCTGCATACAAATGGTTGGATATGCACACAAGACTCAAGTTCTGCATTGGAGTTTACAGCCAGTGACTGCTAAAAAGAATCAAAGTATTTTATCCTAATACCATCAAGTCAACAGATGTGAGCGCTAGCCACTGCACAACATTATATACATAGCGAGTGTACTGGGTAAGGGCTGATATATTCAAGTATTGTGTTCATTTAATTATACAGATAACATTTACTGTTACACATTCTTCTGTGTTCTGTACTTTATTACCCAGTGGAGCATAGACCCTCAATCAGCACACCCCTTATCATCCTATGTTTTGCTATTGCATGCAGATAACCCCTTGTCCTTCCTGTCTTTTTTTTTTCCCCAACTTCACTCATTAGTTCCATTCTGCATGCATTTTGTTGTCTGCTTTTTTTTGTATGCACCTGTGGGTTCCAGTGAAAAGACATTCTAGTTATATTATCAAATTTTCTCAGTGTATGCTTTTGAACGCCAGTGTCTCTTCTTCACCTTTTTATTTGCTGCAATTGGTTTAGATCTCTTTCTATACTGATATTCTGGCCACATTGTAAGGAGAAGTAAAGAGAGACCGAACAGGCACCAAAATAAGAAACACATAGATTGAGGAAACACAGGCTCCAAAAGAAATCCAGAAAAGAATGTTGATGAAGGAGGCCAAAGGTGCTTATCTGGGTTCCCTCCATGATCTTGAAACAGTTGTCATAAGATTGTGTGTGTGAGACTTATAACAACACAACAGGATGATGATCATGTTATAAAGCCCAGTAGTCTACTATGGCTACCATGTATTGTCCTGGGAAGTAGACGCAGCCGCGTGATGTTCACCACATCAACCACCAAAGGCATGAGTTTAGCCTCATGTGACCAATGTGCCACTGAAAGGGCTCCTTTACATATGTTATTAACTCTTTCAGGATGACATTTTTTCTGGGGTTTGAACAGATTTCTTCTTCTTCGCATTCACCAGCTGTGAACTCCGGCAGAAGGTTCTGGTTGTTCGCCCACTTCTGTACTGCAGTCCTGTTCCAGAACCTGAGTGTTGCGTGTGCATCCATTCGACAGATCTGTATGCAGACTGTTGGTTCCTTGCCTCTCAGGCAGATGCACTCCGACTTCGAAGGAAGCTCCAAATTAGTCGACTCTTACGACATAATTTTGTGTAGGCAGTGGGTCTATTCTTGTTTTCCCATATTAGGGCCCCGGAACCCACACGGGGGTGGACAGGTTTAATTTTGAGCCTGATTTAAAAAAAAAAAAATTTTTTTTGCGACATGGCAAGGGTAAAACCTTTCTGAAGACAAAGTATTGTTGTATAGTGACATATTATATATCAAATTTCAATGAGAAATGAATACAGAATACATCTAAACTATTTAAGTTTCAGTATTACAGCAACAAAATATTAAAATGGCACAACATTCAAGGATGTTAAACACACGTGAAGATTTTGTTAACACATGGAATGTTGTACTTACCTTACCTTTTTACTTGTTTAACATTACTGCTATCCATTCTGAGAATTCACATGCCTTCTCTGTTTAGTTATGTACCAGCTAGTCTTTATTTGAAACAGTATACTACTTCCTTTGGCTAATTCTAGTTTTTCAGTACATTTTCATACCAATTCATTTTCATAGGAAGAGAAACAATATTAGAATATCTATGCAGCGGGCTACTAAAGCGGTGATCCATCCAAACGTGATGGATTTGGAAGCCACAAAAGTGGCTGTAAGTCTTCAAAGAGTTAAGCTAGGTTGACCATGGAGCCATGTAGTTCAAATATTTCTCCAAAAGAAAGATTTTTAACTAGGACAGCCAAGCTGTCAGATATGGGCCTCAGCCACTATGCTTAGCAAGTTAGTAACTGGTTACTTGGTGGCGGTTTTTGATGTGTTAATTACGCAACAGTTTGTGTGACCTGAACTTTGTAGAACCTTGTATACTGTCTATCCGGCTGCACACTCAGGGATTTTGTTCTTTTTATCTATTGGTGATCCTGTATCAGCCAGTTTGTTTTGAGTTGCTGAACTGGTTATTAGTGTCACCTACAGTAATCTGGAGTGAATAGATCTAGCCGACATTGCATGTGGAAGGTTACAAACAGTGTGCGATTGATCTTTACATAATTAATTATGAGTATGCTGTTTAGGTGTTGATAAACATGTTCATTGAATCAAGTTTGATAAACTCACATACAGTGTTCATTGAATCAAGTAAACAGTATTTTCTGTTAGTGTTATGGAGTTGGGTTAATCATGAAGCTATGTGTTCATATTTCTGATCTCCCAGTGTGGGTTCCAGGGCCTCACTTTGGTTTAAAGGAGAAGAGACCCACTTTCTCCGTAACGCTCATGTCCTTAAAGGTGACTAATTAGGGGTTTTTCCTTTGAAGTCAGACTGCGTCTGCCTGAGAGGTGAGGAACTGAAGGCCTGCATGCAAATAAACCAGATCTGTAAAACATATGTGCACACAAAACTCTTTCAGTTCTGGAACAGGACCTAAAGTCCAGAAGTGGATGAACAACCAGAACTTTCTGCCAGAATTAAGTCGGTGAACATTGAGAAGAAGAAGAAGATATTTCTCCTAAATAGGGATTTTAACTGAAAGACACCAAGCTGTCAGTTGCATGTCTTAGCCACTGCGCTAGAGTCAATTTATATGATGATTTTTCTTGTGTTAATGATTGTTATTTGTAATTTATATTATTTTACTGATCCACACACTTCTTTTAGTTTTGTATCTGGTTTTTGTGTGAATGTACATAAACAAGTGAGAACCACCTTGGTGTTGTGGCTAGACGTTCACCTGCAGATCCAGAGGTCATGGGTTCAGGTCCTGATAAAGCCGGACAATTTTCAGAAATGACCTTGGATCCCAGTTCCACCCAGGTAAAGGCTTGAGAAGTAAAGGCAGCTAACATGATATTGACCACATCACCCACCGAATGCTGATTGTCTATAAAATATAGGTTTAGCCGTATATGCCTAGTACTACTCAAGGCGTGGACAAGGGCCCTTTACATAAACTACTGCATATTCAGATGTTTTTTACTCTCCCTATTGGTAATGCTGTATCAGCCAGTTCTTTATTTTGAGTTGCTGAACTTGGTTATTAGCGCCACCTACAGCAATCTACAATGAGTAGATCTAGCCGACATTGCATGTAGAAGATTGTAAGCAGTGTGCGATTGATCTTTACATCTTACAATAGGTTAATTACCAGTGAATTGGAGCTTGCAGCCAGAAACCCAGAAATTCTGTTAGTTTAACAGTTACAGCACAAGAAAACTCTACATAGTTGATGGTTTTGTCTTGATTTTTACGTTATATTCACAGTCAGAACATTTTTAAAAGCTGCATAATTTCATTCTTTACATCTTATTGGTGACACTGTATCAGCCATTTCTGTTCTGAGTTAATGAGTTTGGTTATTAGTGCCACCTACAGTAATCTACAGTGAAAAGATCTAGCCGACATTGCATGTAGAAGTCAACAAGCAGTGTGCGATTGATCTTTACATTTTCAGGTGAAATAAAAAATTTAAAAAATGGCGCAAAAATTGTACTAGACAAAAGCAATCTTAATAAAAACCTATTTATAAAGTCCTGGACTCATATTGCATTCTTGCTCTCAGGCTAATATTTTAATAAACAGATGGCACTTGATGGGTCGTTGTAGAAAAAAATGAATGCTCATTCAGGGTGTGAACTTGGAACCTTGCACAGCCCAAGTAATAAATCATACCACTAGTTTAGTTGGACTGAGATTAACTAACAGTTGATTTATTTAATATAAATTTTGCAGGACCTTACATGTGAGGTGAGATGTCCAATTCGCAGTTCACCTTCTAATTCACTTTATCACTTTTCATTCCCAGAAATTTCTTAAAAATTACACGTGTCAAAACACAAGAGCGTGTAATAAATGTCAGAACTTCCGTGGTAATAATGTAGCTGGTCATGATATGAATACTGTAGATAAAACAATTTAATTTGTATATTTAAGTGAAAATTGTTTATTTTTACTCTTCATTATAAGTCAGTTTATCTTCTAGACGTGCAGCTGACGAGATGCAGCAAAATATGCCCATTAAATGGTGGTTGGTAGATTGTCACCCTACACACATCTGATTTCTTTTCTTTCTTTCTTTATGTTCACTGGCTTTATACCCAAACCTGAGTTTTGCGTGTACATCATAGTTTGGCTTTGTACGCAAACCCGAGTTTTGTGTGTACATCCATTTTACTGGCTTATTTGTGTACAGTTTTTGTTCCCTTTTGGGCAGATGTACTCTCACTTCGAAGGAAGACATAGATTCTATCTCTAGGATGACTGTGGCCAATGTTTCATGGGACATGATGTTGCCTCGTTTGTGTCCTTTTTATCTACTGGTGTTGCCCCTGGATAACCCCTTTAGGGCAGCCACGTGCAGACTGGTCGGCTCTCAAGTGGGGGGGGGGGGGGGCAGGTCATGGGCATTCCCTGCCGTCCAAGGAAGCTTCCATAAATGCAGAGCCGACACATGCCGCTCTGGTCCTGGGCTCACCCAGGGAATTGTCTTGGGCTGCGTCCTCAGGAGATAAGCAGGGAGCAACCTGTATGTCTAGGACTTCGATCACCACGCAAATTCTTCTTTATAATATTAGACCCCGGCAACGTTGTTTCAGCTGCGCTTGGCATGATAGTAAGGTGAGGTATGTATCAGGCATAACTTCACCTGTTTGGTCCCAACACTCGAGTGGGTGGGGCCAATGATAACAGACATTTGAACCTTTCTGCCAGTCAGTAGGATTTTTGATGGTCGAACATTGAGACTTTGCTCGTGGGCCATAGGATGAGAATTTGTCGGACATTTGAGCCTAACCAGCAGGCTGACCTTGGCTGTTGTGGTGTACCTCAATGTGGTGACGACGACATTGAGTGTTGACTAAGGATGTACTGAAACAGGATTTTACCAGAAACGGCCCACAGAAGATGTTGCCCGTCTAAGCTGCGAACAAATGTCTTGGTCTAGGGCTAAATCGAGAGTTATCATTTAGAGATAAATTCGGCAAGCAGACTTTACTCATGTTCCAAATGAGTTTTGATAAGACGTTTTCACCCGTGCTTTTTGGGGGTGGGCTGATGAGAGCCAGAAAGGGCACTACCTCTCTGGAGGCCGTCGGCTCTGTTAATGCTCATTTGAGTCATTATCCATGGCACACGACAGGGATGTCCGTCAACAATATTGAATGAGTTTGCCTAAAACCAGTACTAAAAGGGTTGGTGCCTGAGATCTGGTACGAAGTAACTTCTTATACACACAACAGACTGAACTTTCCCTCATGCCTTTGACAGAAATACAGCACGCCACACATCTGATTTCATTAAACACCCAATAGTTGCCTTTTACAGCATGCTTGTTAGGGGGCAATGGGACCGTTTTTGTGTGTTTTTGTTTTACCAAAGCATAAGGTCCCGGAACCCAGACTGTGAGTATTGTTACTATTAAAAATAGGATACATTCTTGGACCTTTTAAAACCTACCCCGTGGCTGGTTGTTTGTTTTCGGGGATGTTGAGGACAGTAACAGTCAGTGCTTTCGTAATCACACGGAAAAAGGTACAATTGTCAGAGGAAAAAGTAAAGGTCACCTTACCCGTGCCATCAGGCCTATTTGGCATATAGGACTAGACCTAAATAGTGTAGACCAGTCAGCACTTGGTGGTTGGCTTCATCGACATCGCGCTGGCCGCCTTTACTTCCAAGGACTTCACCTGGTACTCATTTAAGGCTGGGTCGACCTTTGGTAACGTGCAAAAAGAGTCCAGCTCCATCAGGACCTGAAGCCACGACAGTCAGTCACCAGATATATATATTTATTTCAGCTGGTTAATTTTATTTATTATTGTGTGTCTCTTTCAGCGAGTCATGCCGACCAGCTTCTTTGTGCTGATGAGATTTTTTGTCCGTGTTGACCAAGTTCTCATTCGAGTCAATGACACCAGATTGTATCATGAGGTGAGATTACATGTGTCTTCTTCTTCTTCTTTTGCTCGCTTGAAATAGATTATCTATGTCTGCAATGTTGTCTCTAGTATGAACTTCACTGTCTTTTGTAATTCACTCAGCGACCCGTAAAGTTTCTCTTGGCCAAAAGTTTTGCCTTGATATGTTGTATTTGGGACAGTCTTGGAGGACATGATCTGTTGCATGTCTGTTAAAGTTGAGATTTTGTCTGTTAAAGTGTCTCTATTAGAGAGAATATATATGTGATTCTCAGTCCATGTTCATTTTATTTGGAGAAAAATGGTGCTTACGAGAGAGAGAGAGAGAGTGTGTGTATTTCCCTGTGAGAGGCTGGCTTATGTTTCAGTGAATACATTTGACTCTGAGAAATTAAAAGTGTGTAAGTTTGTGTTTGAAATAAATTGTGTAAAGTCTGTGTTTGAATTACATTTTTTAAAGTCTGTGTTTAAAATTGTGTACGTCTGTGTTTGAATTAAATTTTGTATGTCTTTGTTTAAATTAAATGGTGTAAGTCTTTGTTTAAATTAAATTGTGTAAGTCTGTTTGACAATAAGAGTGAAAGGACTTATTTTATAGTTCCCTCAGTGCTTATAAAATAGGAGCAAATTAGGAAAGAAGGGGTGCAGTATAGAATAGAACAGTAGTTCCTAGATATAGCATTACGGTCTGCTGTGTTTGTTATTCGACCTATGCTTGGTTATTATACATCTCTGTAACCTGTAGTGCCATTTCAATGGTGTGAGATGAATTCTATCTGTATTCCTTAGTTGTGAATTTTTAGCTGTACGATAGACATTGTCAATGAAGACACCTTTTTTTGGGGGGTGCCGGTACAATATTTTTTGCTTCCCCCAAACACGAAATTCCCGTGGGAATTCCACAGCTGACTTGACAGTCCATTATTTCAAGGGGTGCAAGTGTGCTGCTGTCTGCTGCTGTTTTTGAGTGTTCATCTAGTGTCTTATGGTGCGACATATTTCGGTCTGTTGATGCGCATTTGGCTGCTTGTTGATGCGCAATTGGCCGGCCTGCAATATTAGTCATGTTTTTATAACTTGTCAACATGTGAGTGCATAGCGTAGTTGGTATCACATCTGCTTTGTAAATGAAAGATGCCGTGTTCAATACCGACGTGATCCATTGTGAATTTCCTTTTTTTTTCAAATGAAATGTAAATTGTGTGTGTTTTTGTTGTCACAATGTTTTTTTTTTTTAAATAAAATGTAAATTGTGTGTTTTAAATGAAATGTAAATTGTGCGTGCGCGCGTGTGTGTGCGTGTGTGGGCGCGCGCGTGCGTGCGTGCACGTGTGTGTGTGTGAGCGTGCGTGTGTGTGTGTGTTTTTGTTGTTGTCACAACGTTTTTTGTAAAAATAAAATGTAAATTGTGTGTATGTGTGTTTGTTGTCACAACGGTTTTTTTTTTTCACTACATGTAAAATGTGCACTTTGGCTATGTGAACTCTATGTGCAATCGCAGGAAATGCCAATTGGGGTACTGTGGGAGGCCCTAAAAAGGGCCAATCATTCTACATGAATACTGCTGGGTTCACGCACGAATTTACAATCACAGAGATTGTACACGTTAGTAGATCTGAACTGAGGTCAAACTGCGGTGGCAGAAGAGACGACGGACTAGTAGTCTCTCGGGGGCCAGAATCTAGCAATGTCTGCTAGTATAGTTTCAAACATGTCGCCACCCGCACGTTGAGCGCGCCTGCGCCACAGAAACTCACACATGTAAGATTCTAATAAATGTCTGTGGGTGCCATTCTGGCGCTTGTTTCTCTCCTTTGCCGACCTCCACAAACGTTGGATGCATTGCGTATGAGCACCTGTGGTGGGGTCGACAAAATTAATGGAGTGATTGCCGGTAAGATGCGTCAATCCAGGAATATTCTCAATTCCATTGTATGCACGCCACATGTCGGAAACTACTGTCGTTCCGGGTCTGATGTTTGCGCTAATGATCGGCAGAAGCGTCTCTGCTTTTCTGTCTGGGACGCAGACCAGAAAGCATTCGCCTGTCTCGCGACAGACTCCGCCAAATACCCACTGAAACACACGTCCAACATGATATTTACGTCTTGCAAAGAGACTTTCATCGATTTCAACAGTGGTGTTCTCTCCACCGATCACTGCAGGATTCAATAACAAAGTATTGGCACAAACCTCCCTTGGAAATTGCTACATTCCACCGTCGCAGACGGCGACATGCTCAGCTCTACTTGGCAAAATCGAATGCTTGTCATATCATGAGACCAGCAGTATATAAAAAGAATGATCTGTCTATATGGGAGCCGTGAGGCTTCCAGCCATGTTCCTTGCCGCAGAGGTAAGTCTACACGACAAGTGGACTTTCTACAGCGCCAACGGTCGTGTCTTTCAGACAGCGATAGCAGCATCTGATGGTTGTTTCTGCAACTTCTGGTTTTGTGCAGAATGCCATGCTGTTGCAGGAAGGCAATGCTGCTTTCTTTGTCTTGTACAGATGTAGCTGTAGAAAATTCATCGTGACTGCTGCTGGAAACAATGGCAACTGACTGACGCCGGAAAAGAGCGGTAAACATACGTCATCAGTGTTGCCACTTTTCTTTGACAAAAACATCCAAAATTGAGTCAAAAAAGATCTTAAAATATCCAAATTTGCGTGGAAAACATCTAGAAAAAAAAATCCAAACGGAAAGAGTCACAAATTACACAGCTATTAATATGACTAAAATGGGTAGCATTAATCTGTACTGAAAAGTAAATGTGGCCAGTGTAACAGCTACCACATCACCCTTAGAGTGCCAGTACTACTGCTGCTACCACTACCACCACCACCGTCACAACAACAACACAAAACGGTCACTACTGTCTGTACAGGTCGTTGTAAGTGTGCCTCCGACATAAAACTCCATCACCTAACCATGGGCGAACGCAAAAGAAAGGGGGGGGGGGGGCACTTGCCCTGGATTGATTAAAAAAAACGAATGCTGTTGCTTGTTCATCTGCAGCAGCAACGCTATCACCTGAACCAGACCCGGACAAACTTGAAAGTGGAGATACTGGGTTAACCTAGGACATTGGACTCTGTGTAAAATCTACTACGAAGATTCGATCTTAAGCTCAAGTATCGTTTGCTAACTGATCCGTACAAGCCTCACCCGTCATATGATTTTGAAGGCGACATGTCAGGAAGTGGAAAATCGTTGTTTCAGGAAATCTTGGCTAACCCAGTATTCTCTATGGTTATCGTATTCACCTAGGTTAAAAAGTGCTTTTTGCATTTTCTGTGTTTTATTTCCTCAACCAGTTCAAAGAGGAATTCAAGGTGCCTTCATTACTACTTTTTGTACAAAGCACAAAGATTTCAATGAATGTGCCAGAAACCATACCAGCTCAGCATGGCATCGTGGGTCTCAACAAGATGCTGAACACTTCGCGTCAACCATTAGAGATCCAAAAAAGGATATTATTTGTCAGATAGATAATTCCGTAAAACGAACTATTGAAGAAAACAGAAAGAAACTGTATCCTTTTATTTCAACAATCTTATTTTGCGGAACAAATGATTTGCCAATTCGTGGGAAAGATAACACCAAAGGAAATGTCGAACAACTTTATACGTATCGAATTGAGGGAGGAGACAGCATTAAAAAAAAAACCATGTTGATACAGCTGCTGGAAATGCACGTTACACATCACACCGAACGCAGAATGGTTTGATTAATTTGTCTGAACAAGCTTTGCGATAATACATTGTAAAAGCTGCTAACAATGCTGTTGGATTCTTGATCATAGCCGATGGAACAGCAGATATCTTAGGAGCAGAACAGTTATCACTGGGAGTCCGGTTTGTAGATACGTCTAGTGAGAAGGCTATGATTCGTGAGGAATTCCTTGGATTTTCTCCGCTGAAGGTATGGACGCCGCCACGATATCTGATTGTATTATTCAACATTGCAAAACATTTAGTCTTCTCCTTAATAATCTGCTGGGTCAAGGTTATGATGGGCGCTCGACAATGGCCGGAAAAGAAAATGGTGTTCAGGTGAAAAATTCGAAGAATTTACCCCAAGGCTGCCTTTGTTCACGGTGCCTCGCATATACTGAATCTCGTTGAAAATGATCTTAATAATGTTGCATTGATAAGAAATACTATTAGTACTATCAAAGCAATTATTACATTTTTTTCGTGAAAGCCCAAAAAGGAGGTCCTCTGTCCCAAATATTCCTCTTCTGTGTGAGACAAGATGGACAAGCAAGTATAAAAGTATTCAGATTTTTTCTAGTAAATTTGCAGACATTTATTGCCAACTGGAAACATTTTCATTGCATGCAAGTGGAAATACACGACAGGCTGCACATCTGTTACATTGTTCATCAAAGTCCAGCACGTTTTTATTTTGTCTCAATATTATTTCTCAAGACTCTGCCATACTGGAACCAGGTACTCAGGCTCTTCTAGCTGTTCAAGTTGATCTTCCAGAAGTCCAACTGCAAGTTCAAAACCTGCTCAGTGTAGTAAAACTTCACCGAGGTGATTCCGATAACTATTTCATGGATATTTTTGTGAAAACACTACAACTCGCACAGAAAGTGGATATTGAGCTGATTATCCCAAGACAGTGTGGAAGACAAAAGTATCGAAGTAATCCGGGAACCATAAGTGTTGAAGAGTACTTCAAACTGTTTACATTCCATACTTAGATTCTCTAATTAACTCAACTGAGAGTCGATACTGTGAAGCCAACAGTGCACAATTTAACTTAGCGTTGCTACATCCTTCGAAATTGTGCAAACTGAATCGTAAAAAGTTTAAGGATATAATGTCTACTATTATTCAGATATACTACATTGATAATTTTGAAACTTCTTCTTCTTCTTCTTCTTCGCGTTCACCAGCTGTACACTCTGGCGTAAAGTTCTGGTTGCAGCCATGCTCCAGAACATGAGTGTTGCGTGTGCATCAGTTTTACAGATCTGATTCAATTGAATGCAGACTGTTAGTTCCTCGCCTCTCAGGCAGATGCACTCTGACTTCAAAGGAAGTTC